AGGAAATAAATTTATATATGAATTAAATGCAAATTAAAAATCTTGAATAATCCTTTTCTTATTGTAATTGTTAATTTGCATAAATTATTGCACTTGTTTCTCTTTAATCGCATACATAATTTTATTTTATTTTATGCTTATTACTTTAAACTGCCCGCGCTGCACATTCAACATTATGGCCGACCATTTCACTTCAGGGAGTCAATCATGTAACTTTACGTGAAATTTTTCACTTTTCATTTTTCACTTTTTATTTTTCATTTTTTACATCTTGGGGTCGATCATGTAACTTTTTCCCTAGTGCGGAACGTGAAAAATGAAAAGTTTCACGTGAACTTACGATCATGTACGATTTTATGGAATCATGTAACTCTCTCAAACGTGAAAATGTGAACTTTTTCGCCATGTATCTTGGTAGTACATATACAATTGATTATTAAAAGATGTATATAATACTGTACCAATAAAATAATTTTCATTAGCTATAAAACCTATGAAACTATGTTTCATGATTTCACTTTCCATGCAACCAAATTACATACATAATCGCTGTATGTGAAAATTTTCACGTGAAATGTCAAGGTATAACAAGCGTAAGCGGTAGAGCACTGGCGCACCAGGAGGATTATTTGTATATTTGCCAATGGCGTTGGAGGGTGTCGCCACTGCGGTCTGACCTGCATCCATCGAATGAGAGACCAATATCGCTCTGGAGTACCAGTCGTGGGATTCGAAGAATACATGTATATATGTATATGTAATATACGTATATATATATATATGTGTGTGTGTGTGTGTGTGTGTGTGTGTGTGTGTGTGTGTGTGTGTGTGTGTGTGTGTGTGTGTGTATGTGTGTATCTTTGTCGTATAAAATGTAGAAGTAGATAGAATAAATTAAAAATGCATTTACAATGCATTTGTAATGCCGGAAGTTTGCATTTCAATAGATTTAGATTTTGATGCTGCAATAACGCACAAGAATCATTTTCACAATTTATTCCGCGATAATGCAAATATTTTTCGATAGTGGAAAAACTGAAACGATACCGGACCAATTTCGATTCTCTGGTGCCCCGTTCATCGAATAATCCGCGACCCTCTCGATATACTCACGATTCGCCAAAAATATTTCGACTTGTAAGAATAACGATGTAATTTTCGTGTACAAGTGTACGTGGCGAATCTATCTTGCGACCTAATGAGTAGCGAGATCTCGGCGGATCTTCGACGACGCGAGCTCTCCTTTCCGGATTTCTTTGCTCCCGAGCGCGCCTCATCCTCGCCTCGCGAATCCGCGCTATGTCGACCCGGAAGCGACGGTGTCCGAATATAGAGTGTATGCCGGTCGTACCGATAAGGTATTCTGCCCGGTGGTGTCCGTGTATTACTTGTCGAGAGCGGCGGGCGCCGAGCTTGGCTTAGCGCGGGGGTACGAGTTTTCCCTGAGACGGGGGGATGGTTGGGGGGGTTGATCGGATGCAGCGCGTGGCCGCGCCGACGAGGTGGCACGCGCGACATCCGGGGGACTCACCGCATTCGCTGGTGCGTGGTGCGGCCGAAACGCGCGGAACGCTCGCTGGAGAACGGGCGAGCCGAGGCCTTCGACTAGCGCGGAATAAAGCCGACGACGACGGAAGGACGGACACGACGGGCTGGGCTGGGCCCGGCCGTTGCCCGGCGCAATGCGGCCGAAACGGTGTCACGATAGGCTTTGCCAGAGGGCAAGACGCAGCGGAGCTTGCGGGCTGCAAATACTACGAGGCACGAGCAACCGATGACGCAGCTCTTTCGCGCCGGCTCGAGATCTATTTACTGATCGATCTATATTAGTTTGAGCCTCGATTTCCGGTGGTGGATTACAACCGTCTCCGCCCAGGCGAATCCGCGAGATGAATGGATCCTAAACGGAATAATCGCTTTGAGGAGAGAAAGAAAAGAGTTCAAATTCTATAGTCGAAATGTCTTCAATTTTTTATTCCGTTGCAGGAAAAATATGCTGAAGAATAAGCTTCAGCTTAACGATAAGAGAAAATACAAATAATAAATTATAGTCATGTTGGGATGTTTTGTGGAGAATTTAGTTAGTTAGTTGGAATATTTATATGAAAGTTTTTTCAATAACCACAATTTTAATTGTTAATTAAATCTCTATTTATAAATTGTTGTATATATAAAAATTTCTCATGAATCGATGATGTATTGTGTTATTGTTTTATTCAAAGAACATACTTTATCTTTTTTGAGGCGGGAGGTTTTCTAACAAATTAACTTATGTCATTCTGATTTTAAAATATAACGTAGTATATTCAATATGACAAATCAAATTAATATAATTAAAACTACGTATTTT